CTAATTTTAAAATCCCTCTTCCAGATCTACTTCATGTGCTCCACAGAGCTGTGCCTACCGTCTGAGCGGCAGTGTGTGGAGGGCTGCTTTGATGGCCGCAGTGAGTCTCTATTTAAGCTCTTCTCCGTGTGTTCCTTCTGTCCATGCGCATCTGATGCTTTGCGATAGTATTTGTCCCTCAGGAGCCCACTATCTGATCTTCTCTTGCAGAAATCCCAGTGCTGGAGAACCCTGATGCTGACAGGCGCTGTGTCAGGACCCCCTGCCCAGGAAAGGATGAGGGCCCCAAGGACTGAGGGGTAGGTGTGGGGTACCAGTGTTGCTAAATTCCTATGGGACCCCTTTGCATGGAGGCTTTTTTTTTTCAGGACATCCAAGGCCTGATTCCTTTCTGTCGTTTTCTCCCATTGTATGTATCTCCAGAAAATCCTGTGTTTTTCCTGCCCATAATGGGGCTTCAACCACTTTTTCAGGTTCTTGCCTGCTGCTTCAGGGACCAGCAACCTGTGTCTGAAGAGATGGTTCTGTTGGAAGTTGGTCCTAATAAAGATGTTGAAAGTGGTTCTGAGTACTGTGTGCTTTAACTGGAGGGGGGGTAGTTGGGCTCTTGGACAAGTAACATGGTTGCAGTTATCCATGGTCATGTTACCAACCTGTAAGGGTCTAATGGTGTCCTTTGCCACTGAATTGTAGTTTCTGCTGGACTGGGTCTCGCTGTTGGTTAACAGATTACTGCCACCTCTGGCAGTCTGCTTCCATCATGATTTGTCAACCTGACTTGGATGTTGTGGAGGAGGTTATAATTCACTTGAGTAATAGGTTTTGCTTTTTTTTTTTTGTATTTACTGTATGCAGTGTTACTTTCTCAAGCTTCACATCAGCTGAGGTTTGAGACCAATTGCATTAGAGAATGTTTGGGGATCTCTACTCCATTGAGTGGGTTGCAGGCAGTGCAACCATTTCAAACAGTGATGCCTCTCTCCATCCAGATCTCATACCTGCACCTAAGTGTGATGGTTTGGCCAGAAGTATTCAAGGGTCCTGGAGCTGTTCTTGTACCTAGGGCATTTAAAATATGCTGCTATAGAGATACGTGCAGTTGTGCTATTAGTAGGCATGAAAAGCTTCCATGTTCAGAAGTTTCATTGCCATTTGGAATTGGTCTAGTTAAAGACACTCTTGGGTGAGTGAGATATTCAAAGCCCTACTGTCTAAGAATGTTAATGGGCTTTGCTACCACAGAATAGTGACAGCAGTAGTCTTGTCATTGGCATTTGTGGAAACCCTCTAGTGGGTGGGTTGTAGGACTTTCTGGAAGTTAAATTAGCACAAATGGTACTCCTCTTGATGGCAGTTTCAAATAAGTGCAGGACAATATGTTCCAATGAACTTCAGATGGATCCTTTTTAAAAGTGGCTTCTCCTGTCACTTCACTATAGTAAAAACCAAGCAAAGGAGGCAACAGAATGCCAGAAATGGTGGGGGAAGAAAAGGGGTTTGCAATAGAGTAGGAGAATAAAATGGCAGACGCAGAACCAGGTTCATAAAAACCCCTCTAAAGAATGTTTGGATCACTTCCACAAGCATTCTGCACATAGTTTTGTTCCCTGTGAATGTAGGCACCCTGGTGAGCCAAGAGTTGTAGTAATCAATTTCAAAGAGGATGAAAATGGTGACTAACTTGTAGCTACTGTTAGGGGTAAACATAGGGCATAGTCTGATATTTGAGGAGGAAGGAGGATGATTTTACAATATTTGCACATCTAGGTGCCTGGATCTAATATGAGTGGCAGGTGCAGTGTCTTCCACGGACAGATACTGCACTGGCTTCACAGAGTTAATGGGAGGAGCCCAGAAGCAAGACTTCAGCCCTGTTGCGGTTAAAAGGACATTTTTGTCCTTAACACTTGCTTTCATATAGAAAAGTGTCTATGTATTGTCAGCTCTCTGGTGCTATTATTCTACAACTGTCTAGATTATTATTCTATCATACAATGCTAAAATACCCACAGAC